CCGATAATATAATCTCCGTCCTGGAAATATTTTCCATTGAAAAAACATATTTTTTTGTTGATAAAACATCGAGGGCCTGAGCTTAATCTCTGGCTCTGTACCAGCAGGGTGACATAGAGACAGAAGAATGAGACGAGGAGAGGACGGTTACCAAACATCTCCATATAATAACATGGACCTATCTATATATACCGTATACCCCTCTTCATAGAGGTCACAGTGCACCACTCTACAGATCTGCAGTACGGCCTGATAGACATCTGTGTGTAATGTCTGCTCCTCATACAGTCTACAGATCTTATATAGAGTGCAAGGTGAGGGAGAGATTGTGTAAAGATTATATTTAGCTGGTCTCTGTCTGCACTTTCTTTGTGTCTTCACATTTGTTAAAGATAGACGAATGGAAAGTGTTATTTTAGGTGCCATTTGTAAAGAACATTGCAATAGTTACATAGTATTTGAGGTTGAATAAAGACATCAAGTCCATCAAGTCCAACCTATTGCGTGTATGTATGTGATTTTGCAGGTGTTTGCGTGTGTATGAGTCCATGTGTGATCTTGTTCTTAAGTGCACCTGTACCCCTGTATATTACGGTCTCTAAGGAAATCGTCCAAATGCTTTTTGAATGATTAAACACTCTTAGCTGAAATCACAGCATGTGGCAGCGAGTTCCAGACCCTAACCGCTCTAAATGAGAAGAATCCCCATCGCCCCTTGTGCTGAAATTTTTTCTCCACCAAGAGTTTATTCCTGATGTTGCTATCACCATTGAACATCTTGTACATGAAAATCATGTCCCCCCTTTATGTCATCACTTCCAGCGTGAACATGTTTAAATTTACTAACCTTGTCTCATAGCTTTGGTCCTCCATAACCTTAATTAGTTTGGTTGCTCTTCTCTGGACTCTTTCCAGCTCAAGGACATCCTTTCTGTGGACTGGTGACCAGAACTGGAGGCCGAACCAGCGATCTATAAAGTGGCAAAATTATAGACTTGTCTCTACAGTACATCCCCTGCTTAATACAGGACATGACTCTACTTGCTTTGTTAACAGCAGGCTGGCACTGCAAGCTATTGTTTAGTCTATGGTCTACAATGACTCCCAAATCTTTTTCCATTTCTGACTTCCCTAGTGGAGTTCCCATTAATGTATAGCCCCCTTGCCTATTTTTAACCCCAAAGTGCATTACTTTACATTTATCGACATTAAGCCTCGTCTGCCTCCCTTGCCTATTTTTAACCCCAAAGTGCATTACTTTACATTTATCGACATTAAGCCTCATCTGCCATATAGTTGCCCGCTCCCCTATTTTATCCAGGTCCTCCTGTAATGTTATAATGTCTAAGTCCGTGTCTATTACCCTCCCTATTTTAGTATCATCAGCAAACACAGAAACATGACTATTCACACCCTCCCCCGATATCATTAATGAACAGGTTGAATAGCATGGGGCCTAGCACAGATCCCTGGGGCACGCCACTCATGACCCTAGACCAATCTGAAAAGGAGTAATTTATAGATACTTTCTGGACACGTTCCTGTAGCCGGTTTTCTATCCATGTACACACTATTTCATCTATGCCCATAGACCTCAGCTTGTGTAGTAAGCGTTTATGTGGTACCGTGTCAAAAGCTTTTGAGAAATCCAGATACACTACATGCACCGGCCTCCCTCCATCCAGATCTCTACTTACCCCTTCGTAAAATGTTAGTAGGTTGGTCTGGCAGGAACGGTCTTTCCTAAATCCATGCTGGTTATCATTTACTATGCCATTATCCTGAACAAACTCTACTAAGTAGTCCTTAATCATTCCCTCTAACAGTTTGCATACTATGGATGTAAGACTGACTGGCCTGTAGTTCCCAGGTTGGCACCTTGACCCTTTTTTGAATATCGGTACTACCGTAGCATTCCGCCAGTCACTTGGTACTCCACCAGTCATTAAGGAGTCCTTAAAAATTAGGAATAACTTGAGGCACTGGCTCGTCTCCTGTCACTGGAGTCCAGGGATGGATTCGCCATTAGTGGATCAGATCTCCGTCCGGGTTTATGCTTTCTTTTCTCCCGTTGGTCTTTTATCTTCCCTTTCCTAAGTTCTTACTTAACCTCCTTCTTACTTTTCCCCTATGGTGCAACACATACTGAGCTAGAAATACTCTACCGGCTTTCATACTCACTCAGATGTTTTCCTAATTGTTTAAGCTCTTTAGGTGAGACTGTTTATCTCTGTGTCCACGTATATATCCTTCTGGTGTGAGTGGATAACGCTAGAATCATCCATCCTTAGAGACACCCCTATGAGTGTCTTGTAACTCAGGTTGCAATAATGTTGATGTTTGATGGCCAAGATACAACGGGAGCGACCTGGAGTGGGCAGGGACTTCTCTAACCTCAGATATCCACAGGTTCCCATGCTTCTATATTTTTACATGTGATGTACCAATAGGTGTGTTTACTTTTCTTTTTGTTTTTATACGATATATGTATTGTTATGAAAAAACGTTGAAATAAAGAATTTATTAAAAAAAAATAGCAATAATGGTCTCGTTATAACCTGGCTTAGTTCTTTAAGTACCTTGGGGTGCAGGTTATCTGGTCCTAATGCTTTATTTGCATTAAGTTTTTTAAGTCTATGTTGAACCCCGACTTCCGTCAACCACTGTGGTATATTTTGCAATGAGCTATGTGTATTCTTATCCACATTAAACCCGTCTTTTTCCTGAGTGTATCTGTATCCCGAGGAGAAAAAAGTATTCAACACCTCGGCCCTCTCCCTGTCGTTTGTGATTCACTTCCCGTTTCCGTCCTTTATTGGGCCTATCTGCTCCTTCCTTACTCTTTTACTGTTTATGTACTGGTAACATTTTTAGGGATTCTTTTTACAGACAGTGGCAATATGCTTTTCGCACTCTATTTTAGCTGCCAAAATTACTTGTTTACATCTTTTATTACATTCTTTGTAGTTCTGGAAAGCCAATGCCGTCCCCTCCATCTTATATTTTCTAAATGCCGCCCTCTTGTCCTTGATGAGTTGCTTCACTGTTTTATTTAGCCATACAGGCTTAGTTTTCCATCTTTTACTTTTGTTACCCAATGGTATACTATTGGTAATAGCATTTTTTAAAGTGTTCTTAAAACAATCCCACTTCTAATCAGTGCTCAGTTTGTCAAATAAGTCTCGCATTCGGTGCCACACACTATCTGGCGCAGCCTTTACAAGTTTGCCTTTCTTAAGTTTAATGTTCTTGTCCGACCGGCCCACTTCCCTTTCCTGTACCCAACATTGAAAGTAATCACATTGTGATCACTATTTCCCAGTGTCTCCCCAATTGCAATATCTTCAACTAACTCCGCATTATTAGAAATGATTCAATCTAGGATGGCATTTTTCCTAGTTGGAACCTCAACCATCTGATCCATGAAGTTGTCCCGCAACAGGTTCAGAAAACGGCCGGCATTTGTCAAATGTGAGGTTCCACCAGCCCAATTGATGTCTGGATAAAGGAAGTCGCCCATCACAACAACATTACCCTGCCTCCCAGCTATTTCTATTTGGGAGTGTAGATGTGCCTCCCACTCCTCCCCTATATTCTGAGGTTAATAACAAACACCCACAATACGTTTACGGCTAGTGTCCGTCCTATCTAGTTCTAGCCACAAGGATTCCACGCTATCTCCACTATCTGTCGTGATATCGTCCCATATGTGGATATTTAGACTATGTTTAAGATACATGCAAACCCACATTGTACTCATTTAGACTTATTCAATTCTAATTATGTTTTATTGCAGCTTCCTTTATTGGTCAGGAGGAGATGAAGGCCCCATTCTAATGGATTGGGGTTGTTGAGTAGTTTGTGACCTCATCTACGTGACCAGACCAAGACACTATCACATGACAGTTATGTCCTCCACTCGGTGGCACCATCCAACTCCAGAACTTACTCAGGGTGTACTCCTGCTGTGGGGGCATTTTTTTTGCCTTAAACAAGTAAAAATATACAAATGTATTTTAGGTTTTTTTTTTTATTCAGGGTTATAAATCAGTGCAATGGGATATTTTGAGTCCAAAAAAACAGGAATTCACAAAGCCACCACTGGCCTCATTTCCTTCCCAGTTACCACACAAATTGTTCCTTGTTATTGTATTGTTCTTCTACTGATATAAGAGAATTCTTTATTGGGAAGTTGTGTTTGGATGTGACTAAGACTCTACAGAAATAATAGCTTCTTCTCACTGCGGACTCATTAATACATTTTAAGCGCTAAAAGGACATGACAGAAGAGACCCAATGCTCAGAAATAAAGGGCGCCCAACCAAAAGGCCAAATAGTCCAAAAATGCTTTCAAATGTTCACAATGCCACCAACTGAAAGAAAATCTAAGGGATGCACCGATACCGGTTATTTGGTATAGAGTATAGCGATATTTTCTTTTCTGAACTTGCAGATAATGAATACCGTTACCGGAAATCCCATTAAGGAAGGCGGGAGACGTGTAATGACTCGCCGCCCAACTTCCCGATTAGCTGGGAAGCCGGCTTCCTGATTGGCCGGGAAGCCGGCTCCATGCTAATCCCATTAAGGAAGTAGGGCAGCATGTAATGACTCGCCACCTGGCTTCCTAATACCGGAAGTACTCACCCAAATACTCAGTATTGGCACCGATACTGGTATCGGTGCAACTCTACAAAACCTAATTGTAAACAATTTTTGAACAGGTTTTCTGCATTCATGGATGTAAGTCCGTAAGCATATGCGGATGTGCACAAGTTCAAGCGTATACCTGCATACAGCCATTGACTTCTATGAGAGGCTGTACCCAATGCCTGTGGCTCCCTAGCAGGGGTGGGGGAAACCCGCCAGAGCCCTAACTGAAGACAGATGGTGGTGGAGAAAAACAAAGCAAAGCATGTCAACTTTTTTTTGAATAGTGAGAATATTAGGATTGTATTTAAGATAAAAGAATGTCTGCAAGTTAGAACTTAGGAAGCTCTTCATAGGAGTCTACCTTCACTAGAATCAATCAGCAACCCAAGAGCAGGAGGCAGGAGAGGCTCCAATGTTGGCTGCTCTTCCTTCCCGTACGGCACCCAAGGTTTTGTATTGGCTTCAGGGAAGGGGGGAGAGACAGACAGCCAGATTATACTGGTTACAATTTGGAATAAAGAACAAATGAGAACTAGGCAGATCGGAATCTTTACTCCAATGAACTTCTTCCAGGTGGTCCCAGGTTTGGTGGCTTTGAAGGCCATGTAGACCAGCATAGTCTTGGCCAGAATGGAGGAGACTGCTACTGAGAAGAGGACCCCGTAGACTGTATGACGAAGCATGCATGTTATATGCACAGGACGACCCAGAAATAAAAACACAGAGAGGAAGCTCAGCATGATGGAGACCTGAAGAACAAAGCTCAAATCTCGGTTGTTAGCTTTGATAACCGGTGTGTCTTGATACATAATGAAGATGACCAATATCAATGAAGCTGCACTGAAAAACAATCCAGAAATAACGGGGATGGCAAAAGTAATTGGGTTACCCGTATACGAGAGATACTCAACAGGTTTTGGAACACATTGGTTGAAGTCATTTGGCCACTGGTCTTCAGGACACTTCTGGCATGAGCCTTTGTCTATAAAGATAAAGATTTTTTCAATTGCAAATATCTTTAGCAAATATTGGCCGCTCTGGGCTGTGATGATGTAATTTTCAGCCCACATTGCTTGGCTGTTTTGTATCATTTCCCTGAGAGCTTGGAGGAAACAAGGGTTCTACTACATAGGGCCAATACAGAATCATGATGCCTTCAGAGAACCCACATTTCTAAATTAAGGATTATTAGGTGTGATTATACATTCCCTAGTTTTAACAATTAATATACTGATTCAATTATCAGTTTCTGATAGCAACTTGAGTGGCCTGCCATGGTTTGGAGTGTCCAACACGCTCATATACTGTAGGTGTAATAGTCACATGTTGTCAGGGTGCATCAGTCAGCAACCATAGTGCAGCTTCTGCCCGGATTGCTGCACGCTATGCGCATGTTCGTATTCGTCGCGATGCTGCTAGTAATGCGCGTGCGTGAAAACGTACACGTATGCGCTCAACAACGTGCACACGCATGTCCTTGGCGCCAGGCGGGCTATTTAAAGATGGCTCCTGCATCTGCACTTTGCTGAGAGATCTTCAGCTGTAACCTGCATCTGTGTTTCTGCTCCTGGTACCTGTTTGACCCAACTTGATTCCTGACTCTGCCTGCTTGCTGCCTGCCTTGTGACCTCGGCTCGTCCCTGACCATTCTTCTGGCTCCTGATCTGGTACTATTCTGCTCGCTAGTGTATGACCCGGCCTGCTCCTGACTCTGCTAGTGTCGCCTGCTTTTGTACCACGCTGACCGGACGTTACCGATCTGGCTTGTTCCTGATTACGCTTCAGCCTCTCACACAAGTGTCGTCTGATGTGGCATCATCCACCAGCTGTCTCTGGCGTCCTGTTGTCAGCATCAGTGTATCCAGTGTGTCCAGCAGTCATACCAGCCACAGGTACTCGTGCCCCTCTCTGTCTGTACAACTACTGCTCCATCTCCTGTGCGGCCTTCCTCATCACTTCAGGCTCATACCAAGGTACGTGACAGATGTCCACAATCATTTGGTCATAAAGTGTACAAAGTGGCTGCTGGATGAAGTTCAGATTTCACCGTTTGATTGTGTATGTGCTAAACATAACCTTTCTTTAATGATAAGCTGAGAAATACATATAAACAACCTACCTGTGTGATTGGATATCTCCCCTACTGGACACTGGACACAGTGAAAGCAGCAACGTGGTCTTCCTCTATCTATGGTTCTTCTATAACCTGGTGGGCAATCCACGGAACACACCGACACAGGAATCTAAAACAGAAAAAAGAAGGAAGTTTGAAATCACTCAACGAAATACGTGATTGTGCAATAACAGGGTAATATTCGAGTCGGTGTATGTTGGATATTGTGGTCATTGTGTACATGTGGAATGTTTCTTGTAAGATATTTATTTTCTATTTTGTGTATACACCAATCAGCCACAACATTCTGACCATGGAGAGGTGAAGTGAATAACATTGATTATCTTGTTCCAATGGCACCTGGAAGTGGTTTGGATATATTACAATGGCACCCGGAAATGTGTGTGTGTGTGTGTGTGTGTGTGGGTATATTACTATACATTAGGCAGCAACTGAATATTTTGTTCCTGAAGTTGATGTGTTGGAACCAGAAAAAATTGACAAGTGTGAGGATTTCAGTGACTTTGACAAGGACCAAATTGTGATGTGTAGACGACTGGGTCAGAGCAACTCCAAAACTGCAGCTCTTGTTGGATGTTACCGGTCTGCAGTGGTCAGGACCGACCAAAAGTGGTCCAAGGAAAGAAAACCAGTGAACCGGCAACATGGTCATGGGTGGCCAAGACTTACTGATGCATAGTTACAGGACCGTCTTTAATATTGATTGGACCCCGGGCAAACATTTTCTTGGGCCCCCCACCATGCCCCCCCCCCGCAATATTGCCCGCTATATGCTGACGGAGCAGAGCCATGCTGCAGCTGGGATGGATCCAAAAAATATTGTCCAGAGCCACCCCACCACCTGATTGACAGCTGTCTCTACCTCTCTAGAGGTTGTGTCCACCCCATTCATCCTTCCAGTCAGCGTTGGAGGATCAGAGAGGGGAGGGGGCTATTCCTGCGAGGAGCCGTGACTGACAGTCACCGCTCTCTGCAGAGAGAGTGAGTGCAGGAACTGAGTGATCAGCGGTATGTGATCACTCAGTTCTTGATCAAGAGAGCCAACCTGTGGCAGCTTCAGTAACTAGGTGGAAGAGCGCATTTCACTCTCCCCATAATTCTACTTTCATGGTAAATGTGTGAATAATTCGCCACCTACTACTTCCACTACATAGGATAGCAACAATAATAATAATGACACCTGAGCATGTCCCCTGGTGTCATTATTATTATTATGCCCCCCCCCGGTGTCATCATTATTATTATTATGCCCCCCCCCGGTGTCATCATTATTATTATTATGCCCCCCCCCGGTGTCATCATTATTATTATTATGCCCCCCAGTGTCATTATTATTATTATGCCCCCCCCCGGTGTCATCATTATTATTATTATTTCCCTCTGGTGTCATTATCATTATTATTATTATGTCCCCTGGTGTCATTATCCCCAGACATAACAATAATGACACCGGGGACGGACAGAACAATAATGACACCGGGGACGGACAGAACAATAATGACACCGGGGACGGACAGAACAATAATGACACCGGGGACGGACAGAACAATAATGACACCGGGGACGGACAGAACAATAATGACACCGGGGACGGACAGAACAATAATGACACCGGGGACGGACAGAACAATAATGACACCGGGGACGGACAGAACAATAATGACACCGGGGACGGACAGAACAATAATGACACCGGGGACGGACAGAACAATAATGACACCGGGGACGGACAGAACAATAATGACACCGGGGACGGACAGAACAATAATGACACCGGGGACGGACAGAACAATAATGACACTGGGGACGGACATAACAATAATGACACCGGGGGGACGGAGATAACAATCATGACACCGGGGGAACATAATAATAATAATGACATGGTGTAACGTCCTTGCCTGCCGCGAGCCGTCTGCGTTCCAACGTGGAACGCATCGGCCGCGTCACGCAGGCCGCTTCCCTCTCAGAGGGGGAGGTTCCCTGCTCTCCACCGTGGTTTGCGGAAGTGACGTCACGGCCGGTATCACTTATAAATAGCTCTTGTGAACGCTATGGAAGCGTTCCACTATTGAGCTTTATGCCCTACAGATGCCAGGAGCCTCAAGGACCCCTATCACTGCTGGATCTCGTGTTTCCTCAATCCTGTCTTCCCAGCAGTGCCACACCTAACCCGACCACCCCCACCCCTCTTCTCCCCCCACCCAGATAGAAGCCCAACCCAGCAGTCATGTGCATTCACCGTGGACAGGGGGAGGATGAGACTGCAGCCATGGAGGGAGGAGGGCAGAAACATGCAGCCGGGTGTGCAAAATCGATCTTCCTCCTTTGCTGAGTGGGAGGTGATATCCCGGGCTGCAGAAATCTTTGCTGCACATAGGGAGTGGGACAGGAGGCTGCTGCCCTCTAGCGTCATAAAGCGGTAGTGCACACTAGATGGCTGGTACAGAAACGTTTCAAACTTTCATCAGCTCTAGTTTATGGGGTGCAGGGCCCCACAACAATGATTGGGCCCCGGGCAAGTGCCCCTTTTGCCCTTCCTTAAAGACGGCCCTGCATAGTTACATCGTTACATAGCATTTGAGGTTGAATAAAGACATATGTCCATCAAGTCCAACCTATTGTGTGTATGGTCCTACTGATGTGTGCGTATGTATAGGTCCCTGCGTGTTCTCATCCTTTAGAGTACTTGTTCCCCTGTATATTACGGTCCCTGAGGAAATGGTCCAATCTCCTCTTGAATGATTCAACACTCTCAGCCGAAATCACAGCATGCGGCAGCGAGTTCCAGACCCTGACCGACCTAACTGAGAAGAAACCCCTCCGCCCCTTGTGCTGAAATTTTTTCTCCACCAATTTTAGGTGGTGGCCTCTCGTCCATGTCATGGAGTTAATTGTAAAGAGTTTGCTGCTAATGTTGATCAGTGGAGGCTGTTATAGCCACAAAGAGGAAGCTAGCTCCATATGCTTGACCAAAGTTCTGAAATTAGATATTTTTTGAAATTAGATGTCTAACAAACTTATGTTTGAGTGTCCTCAAACTTCTGGCCATATAGCGTATGTGTACTTCAGGCATATTAATCTCTGTAAAATGACTCACCTCACTGTAAGTCCAGAATATGGGGATCCGTGAAATTACAAGCTGCCCTCCTTCAGGAGATGACACTTCAAAGCTCCCAATTTTATTGGAGAAGTACTTGCTATGAAGGCTGTCTGTTACATGGCCAATGGTCATTATATCATAAGATGAGGACATTTCTCTTTTCTCATTAAAGAAAACTTCTTCACCAGTAGGATCTCTGAAGTGGACTCTTCTTAAAAAAGCCTAGAAGGAGGCAACCAGAATTCTCAGAATTTTCTCTCACAGGTTCCCTTCAAAGTTTTACTTTACTTTTTCATAATATAAGACAAATTCTCCCTGGGTTGCAAACATTTAGCAAATATCATTGCAGACATCTACATTATGCTGTTCATACTAAAACTCACACATGGAATTCAGCAACTTTATAAAGTCACTTCCTGAATGGTGGGTGGCTGGGTCTTCCTGCTGTAGTCATGTTAGCAGCCCTAGAAAAAAAAGGCTTGGAAAAGACAATCCTATGAGAAGAACAAGAAATGCTATTTTGGTGGGTGTTACATAGTTACATAGTATTTGGGGTTGAATAAAGACATAAGTCCATAAAGTCCAACCCATATAGGTCCACGCTCAACTCATTCTTAGGAATGCTTGTACCCCTGAATATTACGGTCCCTCAGGAAATCGTCCAAAAGTTTATACACTCTACATCCTACACTCTTAGCTAAAATCACCGCCTATGGCAGTGAGTTCTAGACCCTAACCGCTCTTACTGAGAAGAACCCCCTTCGCCCCTTGTGCTGGAATTCTTTTTCCACCAATTTTAGGTGGTGGCCTCTAGTCTTTGTAATGGATTTAATCTTAAATAGTTTGTTGCCAATGTTGCTTTAACCATTGAACATCTTGTACATGACAATCATGTCCCCCCCTTAATCTCCTTACTTCCAACGTGAACATGTTTAAATTCAGTAGCCTTGTCTCATAGCTCTGGTCCTCCATTCCTATAATTAGTTTGGCTGCCCTCCGCTGTCCAGCTCAAGGACATCCCTTCTTAATACCGACGACCAAAACTGAACCGCGTACTCCAGATGAGACCGAACCAATGATCTATAAAGTGGCACAATTATAGACTTGTTCTCTACACCAACAATATACAGAATGACCCTATACTAGGAAGCCTTGTATGAATATTTTGCTAGTGTAGCCCCTTCACCCTAAGTGGAGTTGTTCTTTATATTTAGTGCATAAATACTCAGGAATTGCCATGTGCTCTGGGGCAGTCCACTCCCGAGCCTCAGCTTGGGGGTTGCGTGTACACAGTTGGAGAAGCTAAATAGGCCTGTAGTCTGCAAGAGGCCAGATGTGGAACCAGGTGGGTTCTGGAACTGTCTGGGATGGACAGCCAGAGGAGCCCTTTGTCTGTTGAAGGTGTCAGGAAGGCCAAAGAATGACATGGACCTCAAGAGCAGCTCTAGTATCTCTCCCAGGGAAGAGTCTTCTGCACAGATGTGATTCTGTTGCTATGTGTTATCCTCTGCTAAGCTAAAGTATTCCCGTACTGTGGAAGCTGGAAGAGACTGTTGAATCTGGAGTCCCCTGAAGTCTGTAGCCCTATACCCCCCTCTCCCAGTTTTGGCTGTTCTACAATAAAGCACCTTAAAAGTCCTTAAAGTGACTGGTGCCCAATTTACTGTTCACATCCCACAACCCGGCTAAGGAGGCGCTACACTAGCTTTACAAAATATTATCTGACTGCAGACAATAATGTATTTATTTTTAATCAGAATTCCATATTTTTCAATCAATAGCCCATTCACATTCTGTGAGCCCAAGCTGTCAAAGATATGTTCCCCTGGGGGGAAGGGGGGGCGTAATCATCCCGTGTTCATAGTACTCCTAGTACTCCGCACTTACACATCATTACATGAGCATTGCTCAGTCCAGGAAAGGTGGACACCCACCATTGCCAGCAATGAAGAAGAAATGGGACCCATGATCTGACCAGATGGGCATGCAGAGGGTGCCTAAGGTTGGTGGAGAACAGGAGATAGTGCAACCCAGCATTCCAGGGTCACCCCACACACACACACATTTTTTTCCCCCCCCCCAGAGCCTCTCCAGCATGTATTTTATGCTTTTTGTATATTTACTTTTTTCAGATGTTGTGAGGCTTGTCAAAAGATTTCTAGGGTGCTCTCCAGATCTTTGACAGTGGCAGCAGTCATCTCCCTATCTTTAAACTGTGAGGGAAAGGCGCCATGATAACGCCCACTCAGGTAGCTGGTCCTTGACGCCCTGCACTCTCAGGATGTCCTCAGTACTGAGTCAGCGTCATTCAACCAGGAATTTATTTAGCAAAAACACATACATATACAATGTTAAGTGTAAGGTTTTATAAATGCTACAATAGTTACAACGAATAAAAATACAATACATTTCTATAAAACCAAACTTTCAGCTGTGGCTGGGCCTTGCTACGTTGAATCACTCACTGCCGTCTTACATTATATGGGCAAAGGTTTGTGGACACCTGATCATCACACTAGGTTTGTGAATATCCCATTCCAAAACCTTAGTTATTAAAATGGATTTGCCTTGCCTTGCCTTTGTGGCTAAAACAACCTACACTCTTCTGAAAAGGGTTTCCACAACATTTTGGAGAGTGTCTGGGAATTTGTGCCCAGTTATCCAAAATAGCATTTGTGAGATCAGGTATTGATGTTGCATGAGAAGACCTGGAACAATAAGCGTTCCAATTCATCCCAAAGGTGTTTGGTAGGGTTGAGATCAGGGTTCTGTGCTGGACACTCAAAATCCTTCACATGAAACTCATCCTACCATGTCTTTGTGGAGTTGGCATTGTGTAAAAGGGCCTTCACCAAACTGTTACCGCTAGATTGGAAGGCCTAAATTGTCTAGTATGTCTTTGTATGCTTTAGCACTAACATAACACTTTACTGGAAACACCTGAACGAATCATTTGTAGGAGTGTCCACATATGCTGACCGTGTAGTAGGTGTGATGGTCTGGTGTCCACAAACTTTTGGTTAAATCTTTCAAGGTCTCACGTGTTGAGACCTCCACGCCATGGTTATCAGATGATGAGTCCTCCATGCCATGGTTCTATCACACCTCCCTGTTCCTTTGGCTGTGATGATGCCGTCTCACTAACACAATGCGAACCTGTGAAAGAAACTCTTCCATCATGGCCGGTATCCGGACCTGGAATTAACGATTGAGAGCTTGCAAAGAAATTGACAGAAGAACCCTGCGAATGATTACACACGATGGCATTGTAGCATTATTGTAAATACTTTACCTTTATTTTGAGCTTTTGCTGCTTTAAGAAACAGTTGATGTCATTTCTGGGCCTATATCTTTGCATTTCATGGAGAGAATGGGCCATGGCATAGACAGCCTTGTAGACTTGGTAAGTGGTTCCAAAATTCTGAGTATCATAAACATCACGTGAAAGATGACCTAACCGTGTGCTCTCATTGCAAGTGTAAAGTTTAATTCCATGATTTCTTAGGAACGTATTAAGGAGAGAATTTGTTGTTTTACAATTCAAGTAAAGTCCAATAATTTGTTTTATTAGGATATCATCTGGGCGGTTTGTAGTGCTGATGTCTTCTAAGAAGTTCCTCAGAGGTGGGATCTCCTTGGTGTTGGGTGAAAATATGAGACAGCCATTTAGGGTTACCATACCTTTCATAGGCACAATACTTCGAGGAGTAGAACCCGCTGGTATGATTAATGTTTTTTTATCATTTACATTTTGCCCGTTTCTGATGAAACTAATCATGTTTAATGAGATGGAACCACAAAATACTACAATTTTTGAGGTTGACCTTTTAAAAACCTGCTCAGCCTCATCCAAACTTGGACCACTCTTAACAGTGTCATCTCGAGGCAGCATGATAACGTATTCCAAGCAGATATTATAAAGTACAGCCACTTTCCTTAATTCTTGGCTCTGTTTTTCTCCAGCATCGTCTTCAGAAGCAATGACTCCAATCCAGGTCCATCTGAAGTATGTGAGCAATTTAATGATTGCCAAAGTCTGGGTCTGATCAGATGGAAAGGTTTGGAAGAAGGATGAGTAGATGTCCTCACTGGTTACAACATAATCTGATGGACCACAGCTGATCTATATGAAATGTTGAAAACGTACATAGATGATTCTGGGTAATGTTCTGGAATATGGACTGCTAATTGCAAATATTAGACTAAAATAACTTTATGATTCCATATGTTATTACAGTTAAAAGAGAACTATGGGGTAAGTGTTTTTCCCCATAGTTCTCTTAAGGGTCACAGGAGGACATTTACTAGCGTTCTCCTGTGACCCAAAGCTCAGTATATCGCGAGCTACAGCTGGCGGTATACTGAGACCGCCGCAGCCGGGACGTATCCCTACAATGCTGTCGAGATCCACCCAGCTGCGGAAAAGACAGCTTGCTCTGCCTATCTAGAGGCAGAGCCAGCTGTACCCGCCCCTGTCTGTTCCTCCAGTCAGCGCTGGAGGATCGGAGCCGGGAGGGGTGGAATCCCTTCGCGGAGCGGTGACTACCAGTCACCGCTCTCTGCAGGAAGATGATCGAGAAGTGAGCGAGCGGCAGTATGCGTTCGCTCACGTACTGGTGATTATCTGAGAAGATGTGTTACATCGATTGCAAGCCAAGTCTTCTCATCCAACATTATACAACAGTACCTGATCTCACAAATGCATTTTGGATGAAGGCGCATGCATTTCCACAGAAACACTCCAAGATCTTGTGGAAAGCCTTCAAAGAAGAGTGAAGGCCTAAAAAGCTGCACAAAAGGGAGAGGGGACAACTCCATATTAATGCCCATGGTTTTGAAATGGGAGAACCTACAAACTCATATAGGTGTGATGGTCAGGTGTTTATAAGTATTTCACTTGATTTTTCTTTTCTTCTTTTCCTCAGTACCTTTCATATTTATTAATATTAAGTATGCACATCGTCCCTCAGCCTGTGCAACAAATGGAGGATTAGGGTGGAGTTTAACTTTATTCTTATCTAACAAACATTATGATTACCTGCGTGTAGCCATATAAGTTCAGTATCTGTACGATGTGTAAAGATCTCTCTGCAGATGGATAGAAGATGACACCGGCCAGCTTGTCACTGTCTAGGCAGGAGAAGTTTGGGATGAGGTCTCCAGGACCAGACACGATCTGTAGGACACTCTCTATGGCCTTGTTCACATTGTTACAGTAATCGTACACATGGTATCCCAGGGTCACATTGGGCAGAATATCCGGGTTCCTGTTTATCTCATCCACAGCAAAAATAAAGGCCATTAGATGTCTGTAAAAGCCAGGAAAGGGCCTGAGGGCAATACAATGAAAAGAATAATGAATGATCCCTATCTTCTACTTCTAAAATTCAAGTAAATGCCATGATGTGAACACAGGCCAATTCCAGATCATATACAAGGATGTGTAATTTTAACGTGGAACTCTTTTGACTTGAGAGAGGTAATGGAGATATTCCCACAGTCTGGATCCAGTGGCCGTGTCTTTGCTGTTGGGACAAACTTTTTCTCAGTGTAGAGTGTTGTCTATATAGTCATACGATGGATCCACTAGGGGGTCAGTGACTCAAACAGTTTAGGACCGACAGCAAAAAGTGCCTCTGGGCGCCTGGCAGATTCTCCATAAGAGAGAAACTGTATCAACTAGACTTGTGCGCTGTCAAAACATTTGTTTCGTTTCGGAATAGCCGTTATTTCGTATTTCGTAATTGGTGTCCGAAACTCAATCCGGATTCGTACGAAATACGAATTTTCGTTAGTTTCGTCACATTTTCATAACTTTACGAACATTTGTTATGATGAAGTTAAAAAGCAAAAATACCTTTGTTAATATATTGGAGTTGATGGTAGTTTTTTTTTTATCCGAAATACGAAATTCGGATCCGAAATCTGTTAACGGAATTTTGTATTTCGGATAAAAAAAAAACTACCATCGACTCCAATATTAACAAAGGTATTTTTGCTTTTTAACTTCATCATAACGAATGTTCATAACGGAACGAAAATCCGTTAACGAATTTCGTATTTCCTGCCTGAATTGTAATGCAACCCTCAGCAGCAGAAGAGAAAACCTCTGATTGGTCAACCAAACAGTAAATTTTTTGTAATCCAAAATACGAAATTCCGTTAACGGATTTCGGATCCGAATTTCGAATTTCGGCCGGAAAAGCTCCCAAATGCAATTTGGAAATTCGGATCCCGAATTTCCAAATTGCATTTGGGAGCTCCTGAATGCCATTCGGGTCTGGGAGCCTCAGCTTTAGTATTGTATATACTGTATATGGCTCCCATGTTGCCATAACAAAAATTTGTACTCAGACCCATTCGGATGCATTAAACCGAAAAACATATCTGATTGGCCAGAAAAGTCACAAGTCTGATTCAGTTTAGTTTTTGAACGAAATTCGGACAGCATCTTAAGTTCGGAAACAGAAATTCAGATTCTGACACATTCGGTTGCATTGGGATTCGGAAATTCGGATGTGTCCAGATGTCCGAATTCTGGAAAATTCGTATGACTTTTGATTCGGAAATTAAACAAATCGCACTTGTCTACACTGGATACATTTCTCATATTAGGCAGAAAAATGGACAAAAATTTAAAGAAAATGCAGTTTAACATTGTTTAGCCCATAACATATTTCTCATAACTAATACAATTTCAGATATTTACACTAAAATATTTTCTCTTATTTATCTAATAACAGAGAAGCCAAATATGTGTTATTGTTAATACATACATATAGCATCCTTCCTCTTGGACTGAGTGGTGCACATAGAATGAGGCATGAGCATTGTTCAGTCCAGGAGTACTGTGAGCCCATCCTGCAAGCTGGTGTACCCCCAGGTAATGTGTCAAGGACAGACTGGGCTCACAAGGAAATGGGTAGAATGGTGCTGACTATTCTATTCTGTTCTGTTCTACCTAAAAAGGACTAGTGGCAATGGAAGCTTTATAATAAGAGGGGGACTTTTAAAAAAAATCTGAAGTTCTGCTTGAAACTATATTTTGGAGAGTGTCCGTGGGTATTTGTGGGAACATCCAACGTAAAAATATTTGTGAAGTCAGGAGCTAATGTTGGACGAGAAGACCTGGTTCTCAACTGGTGTTCTAATTCATCCCATAGGTGTTCATCAGGGTGGTCAGGGCTCTGTGCAGGACACTCGAAACTGGCCAAACCATGTCTTTATGGAGCTGGCTATATGCACAGTGACACAGTCATGCTGGAACAGAAAAGGGCCTCTCTTCTCTCTCCCCTGCCTGTCTCTCCTCTCTCTCTCTCTCTCTCCTTGCTGTCTCTCCTCACTCTCTCCCTTGCCTGTCTCTCCTCTCTCTCTCTCCTGGCTGTCTCTCCTCTCTCTCTCTCTCTCTCCTCTCTCTCCTGGCTGTGTCTCCTCATTTGATGTAATACATAGCACTTCAACCACCAATATCCACCAGAAAGGTGTCGGGGAGCTCTGCTCAGCAGACTCAGGCTAATAGGTAATCATGTGTGCACAGCTAAATAAATAGACCAACATGGAATAAAGGGGCCGCCATTCCCCCCCTTCCTGATCTACCAGCATCAGCTCTGAGAGCTACTGCTAGATCACCATCTACCTAATGGGCACCCCTGCTATAGTGTATCTACAGACCAGAAATGACAAATGTAGATATTCATAAGATCGCTCTGAACATGTTGTGACAGATGAATGGGCTGTTACAGTGTTAAGTCAATAGAGGACACTGGGTGAGTAAGTTCTTATAATGAAATGGTGTCACAGGAAGCCTAGTAGAGAAGACTGATGAGAGATGGATGGTTTTGCAATCATATGGAAGAGCCTGCTCTCCAGACCAATGTCTATGAAAGGAGCTGGTTCTGTACAGGAACAGGCTGAGATTGTGACCAGGCCGTGTGGTAAGGTAGACAGGAGTCTGGAAATCTTGTATCAAGTTGGTATACATAGTTACATAGTATTTGAGGTTGAATAAAGACATTAGTCCATCAAGTCCAACCTATTAGGATCTCATTCTATAATGACCCCTGGAACCCCTGGAAGGGTGGACTCTT